ATCGATAGGAAATAAATTAAATTTAACACCGACGTAATTATTCATCGGTTACGTTATCGATTCACGTTCTCGCGAACATGGCATACGGTACATTAATGCTATTAAAGAAAAACTTGGTGCATCCATTCTTCGAACTTTAATTTATTTTTGCACTACAATTAATTAAATGCACATCGTCACGGTGTGGAGTCGTGCAATTCAAGGTTGTTTGGATTAAAAAATTGTTGATCCAAAACAGGGGATAGAGGAATAGAATTTTCACGTTAAAAAATAAAATCTGAAATAACATTAAGAATTTTAATTTTAATTAAAGATTTTTAATAAATCTTGTTCTAACGATGCTTGAAAAAAAAAAAAAAAGAAAAAAGGTTGAGCATTTAAAAAAAAAAATGCTTTCTTTCCTTTAAGGATTTGAATCTTTAGAATCTAATTTGGCTTTTCTCCTTCCCGGATTTCTGATTACCTAAACAGGTGACGTCAAGATCAACGTTTCTTTCTTCCATTTTCTCTACCGGTATTTCCGAACCGACCGAGTTTCATTCACTTTCAATCCGTTTTATTCCCATTATGATACACCTGGTTTTTCCAGAAATAAAGTAATCTCGTTTCCCTTTGCTCTTTATTTTTTTCCAATTCTTTATTGTTTTCCAATTCATCAATTTTGTTCCATCATTGTTGTTCGATGAATAGGAATAATCCACTTTGTCTTTGGTTCAATAATTAATTATTTATTGTTTAATTTTATCGTGAAAACCTTTGTCGATATTAGTGAGAATAATTCTATCAGTGTCGATAATGACAGTGGCGCCAATCCAGGATCCAAAATCTTTTTCCGTTGATGAAATGAATTTTCCTTCTCCCCTAAAAATCTAGTAAATGTCTAATATCAATAAATAAACCAATAAGCTCCTTCTTCTTCTTCTTCTTCTTCTTCGTTTAATTACAAAATTTTTATTAACTAAAAAAAAAAAAAAAATAGTTGGATTTTTTAACGTTAACGTGTCTGAGTTAATATATATCGTGAATGTTTCTCTTTTAAATTTTTTAATTTCACGAGAAAAAAAAATGTTTTTCCAATCAATCTACGATTTAAATATATTTTTCTATTGGAAAATTTTATATTGAAAAATTATATATACTTATAATTATATGTGTATATTATTTATCTTTAACACGATAACACTCTATAATAAAGAGAAACGATAAAGTGTTACATTCCCAGAACTATATCGCAAGTCACAATCTTATTCGTCATAACAAGAATTAGTGATTTTTTTTTTTTTTTTTTTCGCAGATGATAAGATCACTTGTCGACTCTTATATATTAAAGAACGAACTCGACACCAATTCCAACAGGATCGATTATAACAGTTATTGCATTAATCGCACTATCCTTATAAATTTAAAGAGCAAAATTCTAAATTTTTCTAGACGAAAATTTAAAAATTTTTTTCAATTTCAATCGATAAGCTTTCTTTGTATTTATAAATATATATTTAAAAATTTCAAAATATTTCAAATATATAATGAAAATGTAAATTATTTATATATTTATCGTAAAAAGCGTTTAAATCATTTCGTTCTGGGAATCCTTTTTTTTTTTTCCAGTTTGTAGATTGGAATTTCCAATGGTCGCTTGCGCATGCATGTTTCCGAGGTGACTGACTTATCAAGTTTCGATTTTAAACTTTTTCTGTAACAAAAAAGAAATTTACTCTAATTAGTAAAGAATAAATTCATCCAACTTCGTTACGAATCAAATTGGTTACGTAATGCATGCAACTTTCTACTTTATCGGAATTAAAGTCATTGATTTATTTTTAACACATTTGTGATTCTATTGCGGAATGATATACGCATAAAACGAGAATAAAGTAAGAGAAATATTATATGAATAAAAGAGACAATTAAAAAACAGATGTCAACGTTTTGTGATTCCCCTTAGTCGATAATGATATATTTTTACATGGATTACTCGCAAATCTGTTGAGCAATGGATGATGAAACTAGACATATAAGATTCAATTGTTTGCATCATATACGGTACGAGCACGTGCTATCGATCGAAATGTCCTGCCAAGAAAAATGGATGTAAAATTTATTAACCAAACAAACTTGACATCTATCAAATTCGATGTTCGTGTGTATATGATAATATAATTTTATTCACACGTTTAATTTTTTTATGTTTTGAATATGAAGAAGAAAAAAATTGGAAAAATAATACTTATTGTTGGATAAGACTGCCATACGTAAAAAATGTCATCTCATCCTCCCAAGTTTCTATCTATCTGGCTATCCTTCTCTGTTTAAAAGAATGATTATGCGCAATAGAAGATACATTTCGAACGAATAGACAATCGAAATTCTTCTTTAACAATTATCAGTGGCATCGATATTTGCAAAGATCCCCTGCGTACAATAATTCTTTCTAAATACTGAAATTAAGCATGTTGAGAACTTATTGAAACAATAATAACTGATTCGAGGAAACACGACAGAAATTTTTGTTTAAATTTACATTTCGAAATAAATTCTCGATACATGCTGGTTAACTATCTATTTATTATTTTTCTATTTTAAAAATTATTATAGTTTTCGTTTTTCGTTTTATTTTCTGTTTCCTGGTAAAAACTTTCGTAGTGAATTCGTTGATAAAAAAACTCCGCTATGTACATAGATTCGACATGCTTTATCTGGAATACCCCTGAATATATAGTACAGCAATGCATGTCCTTAGGTGGGGGTAAGAGATGTATAAAAGCGACGTGTGTCGGTTATCGAGGTCATTCGTACAAAGGAACTTGGTTGGTCGGTACGCGTGTTTTCAACGTGAAAGTTTTCATCGTTGCATAAGATTATATTAAGATAACGTGTGCGTTTTGAACAAAAAAAAAAAAAAAAATTACTAAAAGAGATCAGTGAAACAAACAGTGTGCATTTAATTATTATAAACTGGAGATCAAAAACAAAAGAATTCCAACATTTAGTGAAGTGTGTAAGAGAGTATCAGGAAATAGTAAATCGACAAGTAAGCAGGAACAAATATTCACAGATATGACACGTTGCCAAAGTCTACAATCCTATGCATCATCTGCGATGTCTGATAGGTATGAATTTTCATTTTTGATACGTGATTACTCTTACGAAGAATTTGACAATATTAAATTGCAGGATTCATTGAAACTGTATTAAAAATTCTGTATTTCGCTTTATCGTCGAATTCTTCGTTAATTTAAAAAATAAAATAACTTGGAATACTCATCTCAATTGATTTTCAGTGGAAGCTTATCGTGGACTGAACAAAAAGAAATATTCAGATATCCTAGAGGCACTATAACGTGTGGTATGTTACCAACATTACGAGCTCTAGCATCCAAGGAATGCGAGAATAATCAGGCTATTACTTGTCTTGTACCTTTCGACGCGGATATGGATTCTGCCAGTCACCTGCAAATAATCTTGCTAGAAGCATATTGTCGCGAGACAGGAATTAAAGTGTTAAGAGTATCCAGAGAAAGAATACGAAATCATCTATGTCCTGAAAGTGGCGATTTATCTTGCGTACTCATCTCCAATGACGATCCATACTTCTTAGATACACCGGAGTGAATTTGAAACATGTTCATCTACCAAGAATGAATTTTTTTTCGACTGGATACAGTCACATAATCGTACGAAGAAATTCTGAAAAAGAATCGTTGGATGTTGAGTAGATGGAAAGAAAACACATCTTCGATACAGAGAGAGAAATCGATTTTGAACACTCGAAGTTGAACGGAGCATATCGATAACGAACGAGATTAACATTTTAAAGATATGATATATCGGAATATATCTCGATTGCGATAAACGATTTTAATCGCGAAAAAGAAAAAGGCGATATGAAAATGATCGATTGTGCAAATACATATGTGTACGTGTATAAATATATATACGAATATATTCGTACACACACACACGCGCGCGCGCATATATATACTTTTTCATTACGATGTAATTGTTAAATTAATAAAATTAATTATATTATATATATTTAATTATATTAAAAATGAATATCATGTTACCGTTATGATTATTTTGTAATAATACACATATATGTTACTATAGAAAGTGTCAGTCATTTTTATTCATTCCTACAATTCTCTTCTTTATTTTTCCTTTGAACAATAATTGATTACCATTCTTTAAAATGTTATTATTTCTTCACAGCTTGCAAAATATTTAAGGAATTCTAATGTCTCGTTTACGGAGGATTTACAAATCCTGAGCGTGACGTGAGTAGGTACATTAAACGATAAAAAGTTCCATTTTCTTTTCGTCAAGATTTTCAATGGAAATAAAGATATATTACATATATTACGATATATAAATATATATTAAAACAAAAGGGAATGAGAATAATGATACATGTTTCAACATAATGAAATAATGAAATACAATATTAATATTAGTAAAAAAAAAAAAAATAATTAAAGTTTAAAAACTATATAGAGAAGATAATTTTTTTATTCGTTACATAGGCCCACATCGGAAATTACTTTCCACTTTTTCGGAAATTCTGAGGATGGGGATAAAATTCGAGAATCCCTCAACAAATTGGTCCAACGACGACGGCTCAGTGAAATTTCTCTTGAGTCGACTCATTTTACTTTTCAACAAAAACCTACGCTCAAATTGCAGGTATCGTTGATCTCCTTTTTTCAACACATTCTTCATAAATTGATCTTACTCGCTTATTTCGATCGACGTTCCTTCAGAGTCTTAAGCTAAGTAAAGGAAATGAGCACGAAATTCATCTAGGAGATCAGATCATTCTTTCTTGCGTTGCTCAAGGCAGTTATAACATAAATTTCACATGGTACAAGGACAATATGTTGGTGAACATGAATAAAGCCACCAGGTGAACAAATATTATTATCATTAAAATATCTTTAATTTTTTTCGAGCATTATTATTAATTTATTATTTTAAATAAAAAGCGTTTAATCGAACAATTACGTGTGCTAAGTGAAATTTATAAAAGTGACTTTGCAGTGACTTTGAATGGGCAATAAAGAGAAAAATTTTTATTTTACAGGGGAATTCGATACAGATACTTTCCCAATGACGGTTCCGATCTACACACATCAGTATTAACTATTGAGAAAGCAACTTTACTTGATGCTGGTCAATACACTTGTCAAATAGTTGATTGGGGCGTGCAACAATGTAAGAGTATTTACATAGACGTGAGAGATGAGCCGGATGTAAAGGTGATGCCGATGAGCGCCACTATAGATAAGGTGATGTTAAAAAACAATTTTTTTTATTTAAATAATAATTGAAACGAATATATTTTCATATACCGAGATCCTTCTTTCAGGGAGCCAATATACAATTAACATGTATGACGCCTAATGTGCCCAATATTGGGATAGGATTTGGTTGGACAAAGAACAAAGTCCTGTTGAAACTGGAACTTGGTAGCGAAGTCTGGGAAGATTTGTATCCGACTGGAAGTATATTAAAAATAACAAATGCACAGGTATTATAATTAATAGCAAATTATAATGTTTCTTTTTCTTTTTTTTTTATTTAAAATGTAATAACCTTTCTTATTACGTTCATTATATTTTTAGAAATCTGCAATATATACTTGTAATGTGGCAGACAAGTTTATGTCTGTTCATGTACAAGTTGTGAATCGTACATTAATACCTATTTGTCCAAAAGAGAAATCCTGGGGTTTAATTTGGCCAGATACTGCTCCTGGATCTGAGGCATTGTTAGAATGCCCTCAACATTTTGTGGGTAAAACGGTGTCCAGGTTATGCTCGATGAAAGATGCCACAACTCCTGAATGGCAGATGCCAGATTTTTCTTTCTGTTTATTTGAACCATTAGTTATACATTATAATAAATTTAAAAGTTTAACTTTAGGATATCAAAATACAAGCGGTTCTGAAACAATATTTCTATTTTGGGAAATCTTGCGAACTCGTAATTTACCACTCTATCCCGGGGAAGGGGATCGTATTTTAAGTATTCTGACAGAAATAGAACGTTATCAACATCGCATTGATCCATCCGATTTACATGGATCCACGGAAACTTTGATACGGATAATTAATCGTATATTGAACGATGAAAATTCGATTTTGAATCAACAAGTATGAAGAAAAAATTAACTCGTATATATTATAAACTTAGACATTGGAACAGAAGGAATATATAAACGTTTAAATTTTCAGAAAGTTCTATTGCTTCTTCAAATCATTCAACGAAGTTTGATACATTGGTCCAAGATGACTACCCATCCTTATAAGCATTTATCCTTTTCCTCGTTGGTGATAGACGTTCAAGAATTACAGCAACACAGTGGAGATAGTATCACTCATTCTCTTCAAATCCCTATAGATGAATCTATGTAACTACTACGTTACGTTAAATAACATTATGCTTATAATAAAATTATATATAATTTAGATCACTCGATTTCACCTCGCACAGATATCCAAATTGGTACGAAGATAAAACAACAGTACGATTATGGAAGAAACGGCAACGTGGAATAAAATCTAATAACACGTTATACGGAATAGTAATTGTTTACAAAAATATGTCCCACTTTTTCCCCGCCACGTATGTTAAAGAACTCGAGTAAGCAATGGCACACGTTAAATTTTACCTTCTATTGTTGTGAATTATTCAAATTCAAATATTATCTTTATTATTACAGTGATGGTACAGATTTGGAATTTCGAATAAATTCTCGAGTTATCACAGTAGCAGTGCCCACCTTCAATCTAGACAAACACAATAAGATCTGGATAGATCTGCAGCTAAAACACATACAGAATCAGTCAAATTCGTGGAATTTGTCTTGCGGGTTTATGGACGTTACAGGCTCCTGGGACCTGAACAGTTGTATCGCCAATACATCTCCAGGCGATGTTGCCACGCGTTGCCTTTGTCCTAATAGCGGAACTTTCGCAGCTTTTTTAACGGCACGTGCTGTAAGAGTAAGTTCAAACAGGATATGATTATTATTGCGTATTATTTTATTCTTATTTTATTTATTTAATAATATTTTTTATTGAATTATTATAAAATATATAATTTAATAATTTAATTGTCAGGTAGTACTTGCAAAAAAAGAACAGACCACATTCATCGTGATATTTGGATGTGGTGGTTGTTTAGCCCAATGTCTTCTATCCTCTTTGATCCTTGGAACCTTTTGGTGGACGAATCAAAGCTGGATGAACTTTTTGAAGCTTCAATGTTGCTGTGCTTTAATCGGAGCAATGGCTGTTTTCATTTATGCCGTTCACAATGATTTACCAGAGGTAATTAGAACGCATTTGCATCGATTGATAGCAACTTTTTTATGATGTTAATTTTATCCTAGAGTTCCTATGCGATCGTGGCAATAACTCTGGAAGCTTTCCTCCTTATTGGTATGTCAGCGCCGGTATCAGAAGCTCTAATCATTTATGCTGGTTTAACTCAAGTTCGATCCAGTCAACACTTTCAACCTACCGTCATTGCAGTCATTACCGGTATGGTCATTCAAATAATAATAATAATAATAATAATTAATTAATTGATTGATTAATTAAAATTCATTAGATTAATTTTTTTATTTAATACAGGTGTCCCTATCTTAGCCGTGTTAAGTACAGAACTCACACATAAGAGTACGGGTTGGAGACACGAATCATGGTGGTTAATTTTTGGCAGTGGAGTTTATAATATCTTCGTTACTTGCGCGACAATGATGTTTCTTATATTTATATTATTATACTTGGGAATTCTACACAAAGCTCATGCTCTTGTTGAAGAAAATGTTATGAAAAAGGAAGCGATAGACATAAGGTATAATTATTTATACAATTTAAAAAAGAGAAATTAAAAAATAAAACATTCGTTTTTTTTTTTTTTTTAGATTACGAATGCTTCATCGAGCCGCCATAGTCATTTGTAGCATCATCGCGACAGAGACTGCCTCCATCTTTTATATAAATTCCACCTCTATCATTTTTCATTATATATTTGCTTCTCTTTCTTCCGTCTTGGTAAGTGGATTGATAATTTTAATTAAACGAATAAACGTTTCATTTCTTCAGCTATGACTTTCATAAATTTAGGGTTTCGTTATAATGATGATGTATATCATAAACGGTGAATTGACTACGATTGATTTAATCTTACGAAAACTAAAGTGGAAACAAAATGCAGAACAAGAAGAAGTAACATCTGAACCGATAAAGGGTATTTATGAAAATTATATCATACAAATAATACAAATAATATATAAATAAGTGGATTTTATACTTGCTTAAACGAAATAAATTTCATATCATCTTACCAGTGTGTTCAAAAAATGGTGCAGAAGTGGAGAATGACACCGCCCCACCTCTCCAATCATCTTTGGGTATTGGAGAATCATATTTAGAGGTTCGAGGGATTGCAGCGGGTAGTATAGACATGCGGGAATTCATCAACGAGTCCTCGTCTTCGTATTCGAAATCTTCAATTCCCATTGCCAACAGATTCCTACCAGAGATTCGTGTCGATCATTCGGACGACATAAACCTGGAGAATTATAGCACTAGCCCTCGAAAATATCAAGAAACTATCGCATTTGATAGCATAGTTTCTCCACGATCATCGCACTATGTAAACGAGCCCTATAGCACGAATGAATGTTGCAATTTCCGGGAATTTGGCAAATTCAGAGAGTCTCAAGGACAAATCTTCATTGCACACAATCCGTCGTCAGAAAGTTCAGTGAAAGTTCTATGCAGCGCTGATGTTGAATCACGTTTAAGTGGAATGCCTGATGTGACTTTGGCCGTGAAAAAAGACGTTGAATTGTCCGTGCCAGATCTAAAAAGCAGGGAACATGTGAACGTTATTCCCGACATTGCCAATACTACGGAACGTAAACAACCTGATGGTGAAGAAAAGGCACCTGAAATTGTGATCACGAACTGCGAAGCTACGGCAAGTGGTATGCTAGATCGTATTGCACATGATCTTGATTACCTGCTAAATCGTACCCATTCTTCGGATGGAACATAAGTCTGATCATCCTGCAAGAAATTGATTCACTGCTCAAATTTATTAAAAAACATAATTCCATCAAGCATAATTCATGTAATGTTTAACGGATATTTAACTTTAACTTTATCATTTATGGAATTTAATAATGTGCTTGAATAAAAATGAAATAAATAAAAATCATTTTTGGATATTTAGTTGATTCAAAAGTATATTATAATTATAAAAAGTGCTGTTTAAATTTTGGAATTCCTTTGTAAAGGAAATCTTTTTTTATTTTGTTTTCTTTTTTATTTAGAAAAGTTGAATAATAATATATTATGTATAAAAAATATATACTATTCACAATATTTATTACATATTATGTATAATATTAAATAAAATAAAAAAGACCTTATGACCGAATATAACACTGATATGATTGAATATATATATATATATACATATATACAGTTAATTTTTTTATTAATTATTTATTTAATTTTTAATTTATATAGAAATGGAAAGATTCATAAATTCTTATAATATAAGAAAGAAAATTGAACTGAAACATATAAGTTTAAACGAAAAGATTGGATTGAAATATGCAAGTTAATAAATAAAAATAAATAATGATACTTTAAAAAAAAAATTATTATTATCATCATTATATATCATATACCATATAATTTTCATTTATTGTTATTTATCAGTATATCTTTCTGTTATCTAAGAAAGACCTAATATTATAAAAATATTATTTTATTACTAAATATTATTTTAAACTAAAAAAAATTATAAGACATAATCTTTTATATTCTCATTTTTCGTTCTCTCTCTCTCTCTCTCGATTCCTCCCTCTCCTATTTCGTTTCATTAAATATTTATACTATATAATCATTCTACCTATTCTTAAAGAAAAATTCTTTAAAAAAATCGATCATAAAAGAAGACTTTTTATAAGAATTTGTTTTTATTAGATTTCATCCATTAGAAAAAGTTTTACATTCAAAATTTGTTTACATCTCGTTTTTTTCATTCTTTTACATAAACTCAAGTGAACAAATTTTTACAGAATTTTTACAACATTTCAAAATTCATATCTTAACTCCATACTTCCATTCTTTTTCTTCTTTCTTTTCCTTCTATCAATATTGATTTTAATACAAACATATACAGGAAAGTAAAAAAATTGAAATTAGGAAGACAGGAGTGACAAGTTTCAATGAACGAAAACAAATTTTAGGCAGTGGAATTCCGAGTTATAGTATTTATTTATCACTGTCATCATACAGCCCTTTTCAATAATATCCATTCATATTGATTCAGTCGTTATCGCACTTTCATTTTTCCGGCTTTTTTTTAATAATTTGAATTATAAAGCTATACATTCAATTTTTATCTCAATAATCTACTTACATATTTAAGATCAAACTGTATGTTATCGGTAATAATTGCTGCAGTTACTTCATTTATTTTTTTCTTCGTTTTGCATCTTCGTTTTACCTCTAATAATTAGTCATTTTTTTTAGTGAAATGCTTCACTGAAAATTTCATTTTTTTTTTCTTCATTTGCCGAGGTATGAAATCGGAGCAATATTTCTTGGCCAAGCATATGTTATAAATGCAAAAAGATATAATAATAAGGTCGGTGTTAGTTTGTTAGCACTCGAATATATCTATATGACTAGTTTTCTGTGTCAACAGATTTTCTTAAAAATATAAATTATTTACAAGGATTTCAGCTAATTTTATCGAGATTTAATAATCTTGGTTTAATCACATCAATAATACCGAAGTATAGGAGAGCCGTGGCTGTATTCGATTATTATAATTTAAAAATAAGAGAAAAAAAAAAATGAATTACAAAATGATTATATTTAAACAATTTTTATATTACGTTTTACTAAATTTTACATGCGCTACTATTCTTTTTTTTTTTTTAATAAATAAATTTTTTATTTATTTTATTTTAATAATTGAAAAGAATATGGCGATTTGGGTTAAGATAAATCACAATATACATCGAATTAAAGCGAAATAAATGCGATACTCATTAGTTTTTCTTTATTTTTATTATTTTCGCATTGATTAATAAAATTATTCTTTCATACTTAATAACATTTAATCATTCCCCCCTCCCCCCAGTTAGTTTATGTCAATTTGTATATAAAAATAAGTTTTTATGATATATCCCAATTATATAAATAAAGAAAGTTATTTGAAATAATAATTTGAAATAAAAATTCCAATGAATTCAAAATTCAACAATAAAATGGCCTTTATTATATTTTAGTCTAGTAACAAGAATCCATGATTATTTATAATAATTAGATGCTATATGGTCAATTGAATATGAAATAATATAGCGCATTTTTTATTTTCATTCAATTAAAATTTATTCAATATGTATATCCTAGCTTTCAAAATTAATATATTATTTAATTAAAAAGAAAAAAAATTAATTATTAGATTTAATTTTAAGTAGAACACACTAAACATAAAAATGTTTGATTCTACCGCGTTAATATTTTTTTAATCTATTACTTTAGCCACGGCACTCTTTTTCTTTTTTTCTATTTTTTATTTTTTTTCTTTTAATCATTTAATTTCATTCTTTCTTCCTGTTTACTTAAATATAAAAATACATAGCCAGTCTATACATAGAGCGTGCAAAGTGGCACAGTGAACTGAGTTACCAAATATCCTGGATGGTTAACTACCACTTTCAGCATTCGACGGTGGTTCTATTTCATCGTGACTTCTATTCGTGTTACTTGACATCGGGAGACATGAACTTTTTGGCAGCGGGTTAGTTATTACACTATCACTATGAGATGTTGTCGCATTATACATAGAATTATCAAAGTGTTGTAAGCATGGAAACTCTGGACCAGGCAGCAATAAAGTAGTTTGAGTGGGAAGATTAGTTAATGACACCATTCCAGGTGTCATCATTTGTTTATTAAAACAACTTCTTAATGCCTCTTCGATTAAATTTGCTATTTTATCACGGTCGTTCTATAACAAACAATAAAATCTTGAAACTATTATTTCTTTTTAAAAATATGTAATAAAATAAATACCTCATTAATAAATCCAAAATGTACAAGCTCCTGAGCGAGAAGCATTGAAGTATCTAATTGACTCACAGGACATGTCAATTGTCTATTCATTTTATCATCCATTCGTAATAATATTGTCATCTATAAAATATATTAGTATAAGAAATACAAATTTGATAATTGATATTAATTATTTCATTGTATTATATTACTTACAAGTAATTCACAACTTTCTTCTCTAGGTTTAACATTACACATCATATTAACTACTCTTCGAGATTCTACATCCACCGGTTCAGGTGTAACTGATTTCACTGATTCAGTAACTTCAGGTGATATAGCCCTTGGTCGAACAGGTGGTGGCAGTTTCGCCATAAATGCTGTCAGGGGATATATACCATATCTGTCGACACAAAAAATTAATATGATATGATTAAAAAATGTACAATTTTCCTTTTTTAACAGATGTAGTTATAAATTTTCCATTTTGAATTATCAAAAGAATTAAAATAATCACAGATTATCGATTTTTAACTGTTCTCTTTAAAATGGAAAACATTGAATTTAATTTCAGTTTGAATTAATTTTTTCATGTTTTTTTATATTATCTATACAATATAAATTTATTCAAATATAATTATACTTGATATCATTTTTTCGAAATTTTTATTAAAAATAAAAAATTTTTTAAATTTGATAATAATTTCAATCTCAATTATAAAATAAAGAATATGAAAATTTTATTTTTTATATTTTAATGAGTCATGAATCATAGATTGATTTTTTAGATATTATAGATATTTTCCTTCTATAAAACCATTCTTAAAAATTTTGTAGGAATTGATGAGAAAGTTCTATTAATCAGAATAAAAATACATCTATTAAAAACGAATACTGTTAGATATCTATTTAATTTTATATACTCGTGATATTTAATACTATTTAATACTTACTTTACATCTTCCACGAATTTTTCTAATTTTTCTGTAACAGGAATATCACTTAATCGAATCTGCTGCGATGGTCGATTTTGATACTTAATTTCCGCAACTACGGTATCAGGACCATAGAGCCTTTGCAATACTTCATCCGTTATTGTTTCCGAAATATTAGCTGAAGAAATAGAAAAAATTAACAAATTTATAAAAACTATCATTCTATATTTCAATATTTCATTTTTATTATAATGATTATTTTATCTAACTTTATTATTATAAAAAAAAATGTATTAAACATATATAATAATGCCACATAAATTGTCGAAATATCTAACCAAATATGGTATAAAAAATATAATTCTAGAAATTATAGAATAGAGCAATCCTAAAAATCTTATAATATTTTTCTTTTTCTATGAAATGACTATAAGTGAAATACATATATTTGATTTAAATTTTATTATTTTAAATATGTCAGAGTAACACTAGTTCATTCTAGGAAATCAATTTTCAATAAATGATAAAAATTGTTAATGCGACATTATTATGAAATACATTTTGAAAAATTGAGATTAGATAACAATAATATTATTAAACTTACTGGCTGAATTAACCAAAGCATGAGCAGCAAGTAATTTCAATGAATGTACTTCAAATAAAACTGGATGAAAAAGAAGCTCCCTTGCACTTGGTCTACTAAGCGGATCTACTTGAAGACATTTTCGAATGAAATCTTTTTGTTGGCCATCATCTAATGATTCTATGGTTTTTCGAACATTATCATCGGTCACGATCGTACCAGTCTCTCCGTTACCCTGAATTTCTAACGCAGCCATTTCCAGAGCACACATTCCAAATGAATAAATATCAATAGCAGGAGTTACAGAATCTAAAAAACAAAGTAAAAGATATTATAAATTATAATATAATATAATAATATATATTCTTATAAAATAATTCACATACTTCCATACTCAGGGGCTACAAAATGCATATTTTTCATATTTGCTCTACATGTTTTAACGTGATGATGAATTGCATCAGGAGCCACTGTAATAATAATGAAATTATATCATTATTTTTAATGAATATACTGTAAATAAGCGTTCACAAAATATGTATATTTCTAAAGTATTTAAAAAGTAATAAGTTTTAAAATAATAAGTAAAAAATTTTTTATGAAGTGACAGAAACTCTATATTTTTTTAATTAAAAATTAATAAGAAAAATACAATTCACATAATGTTTTTTTTTTACTTTTTGAATACTTTTCATTTGCATAATATATGATTAAATTAATACATAAATTGCTAGAAAAATTGTGTTGTAACTGAAAAATTATCCTATGAGTAACTTGAGTCCTCACACACATGTTCGCATATACATATGTATACATAAAATAAATAAAACGTGAACAATAAAAAAATAATTTATATAGTTTATTTTTAAATTATTCATGTGATAAAATTATTTTATAACGAAAAAATAAAATTATTTTATTAATGAACAAAAACAAAAGTTAAATCATAATGAAAAATACGTGCAATAATAATAATCACAAAAAAACAAAAAATATTTTAAATTCTTTATCTTTTTTTTTATTATATAATTTTTTATTTTATATATAAATAATATCAAAAGATAAAGAAATGCAGTAAACTATATTAAAGTCAAATAAATTGTGAATATCTTTATATAAATGACAATCAAAATGTAAACACATACGCGCGCGCGCACTTTTACAGATACATATTACAGATATATATATAAAATACTTACCTCTATATGTTTAAATTACTTAGCTGGTAATATACGATGATTATCTGCCAAATGTATTTTCTTCAAATTCATCATCTTTTCACAATTTATACCAAAAGTCGTCATTATTAATTGATTTTATTCTCTGGATGGATGAAAGTACGATTGTACTTCCTCTCTCTTCGAAGACTTTGCTGTGTTTTTTTCATTATCTAGATTAGTCTATTTGCTACAATTAAAAATGAGGACTCAAGTTATTCCTAATATATAAAATGTAATTTATACACAATCTTTCCAAGAGATTTATCTTATTAATATATAGAATAAAAAAAGAAATTGTATTTAGATAAAAGTAAGAAGAAGAGGAAGAGGAAGGAGAGGGAAGGAAAAGAGAGAGAGAGAGATTAGAATATAAACATTATAATAATAACAATAACATAAAATGATTCTGAATATCTAATGCAAAATGCAAAATTATTAGCAATATTTGATGAAACAATATCTCAATTTCTTCATATAAAATTTATTATTAAAATTTATTTAAAGAATAATTCTTGTTCAAATATCATTAATTTTTTTATAGATTAAATCATAATCTATTCTTTTTGATTAGAACAATACTAAGTTATAGTATAGAAAACTTTTTTCATAATACATAAATATAGCTTTTTCACACATTATTATATTTTATAATAGAATATTCAGATATCTGTTTGTTCAATTTAATTATTAAATAACACACAATGTCATAAATTAAAATAAAAATTAATTGAATAATTATATATTTATGATATTTATTATTATGAATTAACTTATTGTACGAGTATTGAGAAGACAGACATAATGGCAATATATACATACTTTGTCTGCTTGTACCTCGTGTAAGAATAAAATAAATATCAGTCAATTCGCAGTGATTATTTTAACATCTGTTAATCAATATATATGTGTATATATATATA